TTGGCAGAAAAGGTTATATATAGAATTAGTCTAAAGCAATTGTATATTTTTACAACACAACAAGACACTTGATGCATAACAGGTTTTCAGAATTCTTTCCATATTTAAAAAAGTACACAAAAAAGGGACCTATACTGGCTACATTGTTTTGCATTCCTATTATATCTGTTTAAAAATAACAAGTTTAGTAAAAACAAATCTTTAAATTTTATATACTTACAATAGTACATGAGATATTTCACACGCTGAATCATCACGAAGACAATAATAATGTTTCAAATCAAAATTCCCATCTTCTACAGAAAACACACATGTACTGATCGATTCAAATCTTGGTTGTTGTAATTATGGTATAACAAACCCGATCTATGATAATGTAATTTTGAACCCAACATAAATTTAGCGTGGGAGAAATTTCCATAACAAGTCGGAGTGTTCAACAGTGGCTCTTGTTCTGCATGAAATTTCAAATTTATGAGCATTCAACTATATATGGCCGTTTTATGCAAATCAGTTGATCGCTTTTCAGAAAAGCATTACCTCCGAGTGGTCAACTGTTTTCGCATTAACAGTTGAATCTAGTTGACGGCTAGTTGACGGTCAACTACACATTTTCGTATGGGGGCCAACATGGTTGTCTACCACAGAAAAAGAAGTTCTAAATGTTGTGGGGGAAATGTTTAATTAATGTAACAATAAAGATTACTCTTTATATTTAAGGTAGCCTAAATGATGATTAAGTTGACATATGTTGTATCCAAATAAAGCTACAATTATTTTTTGTACAAATTGAATCAGCTGATTAAACAAACGGCGGAAAAAAAAAACACCCGGGGGTAATTGAATGGGTCTGATTTTCTTTTACCAAATTTATTAGGCAGTGGCGCTGCCATTTAATCAAAAACTAAATGTCATAGAAGCCCTCAAGTTTATTCTATCATACACACAGATGCAATCCTTTTCACAGGTTAAGAGGTTAAATTCCGGAAAAGTAGAAATTTTTTACCGGTCCGTCGGACCGATTACATGAAGAAAGTTACCGGACTTTTGAAATATTTACCAGTTTTGCCGGTGGATTTCAAAAACTCTCTGCATTTTAATCCCTGGACAGTTTTTAAAGGTTGATATGCTTGTTAAAAGTAATGCTCAATAATATGAGAACATAAGCTGTGGGTGTGTGGAGGACCCTTAATAAAATATTAAAACAATGAAATACAGAGTCAAATGTGTAAAAGATGATATAAACAATATAATTTTGAAAAATATAACTTTTAGAATTGAGAAATTCCTTTTCTCAGAGCGGGGGATTGTCCTCGCCTTGTACCCCTCCATTCTTATGAAATATGTGGCCCCAGCGTCAGTGGTTCCTGTGGGGTGGGGTGCACAACTGGTTGTTATAAAGTGGAAATGCATTTTCTCTTTGTTCCTCTGATCTACCTCTGTGTATTAAGTAACCAAAGTAAGCTTGCTAAGTGTAAAGTTAAGATAAGCAATGGTGCCTTTTTTCAAAATTGTGAATTTCAGGGCCTCTGGTTCAAAACACGAACAAATTCAATTGTTAGAAAGTTGTTACAAGATACTCAGGTGACCTATAAGGCCCGTGGGCCTCTTGTAATTTGAATCATTTCAATGATTTTTTTTAGCTTGAATACTTCGAATATGCTCCTTATTCAATTTTTACGTTCATTCAGCGGTTTAGGAGAAGTTACAGATTAGGGATGGATACCCTCAATTGTTGCGGCCGTACGCGAGTATCATCATTAAATCGTTTATTTCCCCCCACTTTTCTAGAGGGGGCATATTAAAAATAGTAAAAAAAGGGATGTTTATTTGGTCAGACTTCTCATGGACCTTTCATGGTCTCCATGCAATCGCCAAATGATATCTTGGACCTTAAAATCCTTCGATTTCTCAGGGGCCTTTCAAAGAACACAAATTGTTTTGAACACATGGGTATCAATGCTTCATGAATCGTTAGGAGCGGGACCAGCTGAGCTAATATGAGACTGTGTCAGAGATATAATAAGAGTTTGTCTTTTTAAGGTCATCTCAAAAGCTTGGAAATTGAGGTGAGATTGGGGAAAGACTGCTGCTTTAATACCGCGTGATATTTTTTTAAATATTGAAACAGACTTTTAAAGACTTCATATATATGCAAAGGGTTCTTTATCAACTGATCATATGAAACAGTGACATCAACATAAGTTGCAGCTATAGTCATTCAGACATTGATACTTAATATATCGGCTTATAAACCAAAACCGAACTTTTGAGACACTTGAATAAAAGGCTTCATTTTTCAAGAACACGTAAAATACATGCTGGATTCTTACATTTCAACAAAGAATATGGCATTTTGTCCTCTATGGTTCATTTAGATGAAGTAAGACATGTAGTTACGGTTTTGTACTAAAATACAATCATTATAATTCTTATGGAGGGATCCTTTTCATATTTCTTGTATTTAAAAATTAATGACATTTTTTATAAATTCGAAAAGACTATCACTTTGTGATGATATAAGAATACATTTGACCGTTTTATTCTAGAAGCAAGATCAGATAAAGGTCATTTAATTATTTTTTCATCGAACATTTAGAATAAAATAATATGCCAACTTCTAATTCAACTGATTGAATGTTTTTCTTTTTACATAAAGAGATATCATATAGGTTCTGACAGATGATATTACAAAATTGGCATGAAAAATTGACTCAAATTGATATTTTCTCTACTTTTCTTAAATTTTAAACTAAATTCATGATTCTTCAGTTATTTTGAGAAGCAAAAATGAAGATTTGATACTCCTAGTCCTTAAATTGGTCAAGATATTAAAGATTTAATACAAAAGTATCATGTACTGGGGCATATGGTCATCATTACAGGGAACTGGGCTCAACGACTGTGTCTTGAGTGGTCTGGATTCTTTTCAAATTAATTTCAACATTGAAATTCAAAGGGTGAAATTCTAAATAGGGTTGAATAGCAATGCTGAAGTGGAAGATGATTTAGTTTTCTACCTTTTTTTAAAATCATTTCTATCTCCAAAATAGGAAACGGAAAGGCATCCAAAAAAAAAAAAAGAACTTTAAATTGTTTATGTTATTAATAGTTGACCATTTTTATTGCTTCTTATCAGTTTTGATTTGATTGCATTTAATAATGATTCATGTATATACATTTGGAAAACACAAGAATACATAATTCTGTCAAATTGAGTTTAGGCTTCATTCTGAAACACTCACTTGAAAAGCTCCAAATGTAAAATAATTATTTATTTTGAAACATTCCAATCAAGTGAATGTAATATATAATGCGAATACTTGACTAGTTGCAAATAGATGTACATTGTATTTGGGTATCCTTTAAGATAACTTAATCAAAAGTTGACAATAGATGTACATTGTATTCAGACATACTTTATGATAAATTAATCAAAATCAAAAATCAAAATTATGCAACAAAAATCTCCTCAAAATCTTATTCATAAAACCAAGGTACAGAAATTGAGTTCAGAACATTCATACACCTCAAAACGAATAAATGTACATGTATTGTATATGCTGCCTAACATTTATCATCAATAAACACCATCTTTACACATTCATGAATGTCTTTTAAAAACAGCTGTACATTTGAATTATGCACTTCTGATTAATATATAAAGAATAAATGTCACATAATTTGACAAAGCACCAAACTATCAATTTTGCACATCAACTCGACCTTTGAATATCATTATAATATTTGTTTACTGTAGGTATAATATGTGGCTGACAAGTAAAATATAGAGGAAAACTTAAAGAGTGAAATGGATAAAAATGATCTGTTTATAAGGTATGAAGCATTTTGTCAACTTTAGAAAGAACATGGCAAAAATAGCAATTAAAGTTATACTTATCAGACTTACTGCAATAAGGCAACTCTACTCCCAATCTTTCTGTATATACATGTAATAGATTCAATATAAAGCCATGGATATTCCGTTTTTCTTCGAATAATTATACTATTACTCTCTCTATCTTCCTCACACACATATCTGCTGAATTTTTGAACACGTTTATCATTCTTCATTCTAAAAGAATTTTACACTGTAAATTGAGCAACCTATACTCTTACATCAGATAAATTTACTTTTGTATTCCTCATTTTTAAAAGTTAAAGCATCCTCATTCTTGAGATCAATTCTTACTTGTTACCACAAAAACGCACATTAATTAAAGTTAATTAAATGTTTAAATGATCATTATTCTTTTGACATTTCAATCATATATGCTGACACCTTGTCACAACGAAGAAACAAGCTAATAAACCAATTGGGTCAGATGCACATTTTTTTTTCTATGAGAACTGCCAAAATGAATCAATTTTCAAATGCATCAATAACTCTTAGACTACATGTACCTAGTAATAGATCTATGTTTAAAATATTTTAATATTTACAATAATATTATAACTTGAGTCTTCTACATGTAATATTTAAAATAATATTATAACTTCTAAGCAAATAGGTCTTTTTACCATGTTTCTTGTAATAAACATATATGAAACAAACTTTTGTACGTAATACTATTAAAAATGTTAAACACTATGAGTATATATTGAACACAGATATCATCTCCTCCTACACTTTGCCTCATGTACATGTACATCTTCACATCGTCTAATCTAAACATCATGAAATTAATGAAAAAAATGAATGCCAAGTTAACACAACCTTACAAAGTGCACAGAAGTGGATAATTTTTTCTTGGGGAAAGGGGGGGGGGGGGGGGTTGGATTGATGTTTATATTTTTTTTCATATTTTGATACGGTCTTCTTGAATAATAATTCTATGTAGAAATCTGAAGTTTATACTCTTTACACCAAAATCTATCAAAATTTATAAAAACTGCTTTCCGTCAGCAGTGTCGCTGATTTTCATGCATACCATATTTCTATTTTACTTACAAATAATTTTTAATATACCTCATAACAATGCACATATGAATTCTTAATATCAAACATTTGGCATATACAATGTCAGATATTACGAGGTATGTGAGTTCACCTGGATCCCACATTGGAGTGGTAGTACATTCCAAAGGCTGACGTGGTGAACCAGGAAGCACACACCCACCATGTAACAAAGGAGAGCAGGCCGCGATACCACTGAGCTGAGAACACCTGCCGCAAGTTCACTAGAGTCAATGAAAACTGGGCTGCTGTCTCACTAATTGACTCAAGAGTAGTCGAGTTTAGAGCCCCTGAGATTGTTGAGTTTGAGATCTGAGTTGAGTTTCTACTAAAGGAAGTGAAGTACTCCTCCAAATCTTGCCCTAGTACAGAGGACCAGTTGTATTCACCCAGGGTCTTCTGTAGGAACATCAGAAACAGGAGGAGAATTACGGGGGTCAGGTACTGTAGGGTTACCACACAGAGGTAGTAGAAAATCCTTGCTACCATTTTTTGAAACTCAGTTCCACTGATTCTTCCACTCTCCTTCTTTAAGTTCTCCACTTTTTCATAAGCTGTATTGAGGTGAGCTTGTAGGTGAGTTGGCATCAAACAGAGTCTTAAAGCAAACACTATTCCTATTAAAAGCAGACGAAGAATGTCAAATTGTGATTCCTGTAAATGTCTGTATGTTGCTCTCCAGTGTTTTCCACATAAGAATGTCCGTCCTAATGGCTTTATCCACAGCAAGATAATCACTAATGGTAAGACAAAGTTTAAATGCAATAAGAGCTGTTTAATTCTGTTTTCTTTGGAATATTTCAATGCATCAATGTGAAGTTTTCCATACCGAAGCCCAGGAAAGGTTAACAGGGCTCCTACAATTGCACAAACAAATGCTAGAATGATCTTGAAAGTCAAAAAGCTTACAGGACCTTCATAGTCCACATCCTGGTGTTTTAGAAAGTTTTTAGCACCTGTGGAAAAATTCTCATAACCCTCCGCCAAACCAAATTCCAGTATGGATTCATCCACAACAAGAACACCCATGGCTGCCACAAGAAAGAAGAAACCAAAGGTCACACACAGGATTCTCTCCCCTCCATTTTCCATCTTGAAATACATGGCCGTCTGGGCAAGCAGAATTCTCAGTGCAAACCCAATCACAAGCAGGCACCAAAGCATGCTGATATTGAACTCTGACCGAGGGCCGATGGTGTAGTAGATTTCTGTGAGGAAGTACACCATTCCAGCAGAGAGAGAGAAGTCCACCAGCCATTGGTAGTCTGGGTAGAACCTCAGCTGTAACAAATCCACAGACTCCACTGGTGCAGAGTCTAGGGCTATATCAGTATTACGAGGTATTGTAAAGTTGTTGTCTGATGACTCTTTGTGGTTCTTCTTATCCCCTCTTTTTCCTGTCAAAAAACCAACTCATTAATTCTAATTATACAGATCTGTTCATTTTGGCAAAATTTTTATTTTGTTATAATTTTCACACAACAAATGTCAGGCAATGCAACTTATGCATTAATTAGTTTTATTGTGTGAAAACTACAATAGCCAAACTCTTCATTTTTATACCATTTATAACTTACATTAACTTCAGTGTACATGCAAAGTTTGGGGGAAATTTACCGTCCAGGTATTTTTTTGGGACCGTCTCAAAATACAGGTACATTTACTATAGGATTATATAGGAAAATGCCAATTTTTAGCACTTTGAAGCAAATTATACAAATACTACATTAGACATTTTGTTCAAACTAAAATATTTGATGAGTAATACTATATTATACAATATATGTAAGAAACACAAAATTCTACCGTCTTGTTACCAGAGGGGGCATCTCAAAATGCAAAAAATTAGTAAATTTTACTATTTTTATACAGTATTACAAAATATGACATATACATTGGATTCACATGAAAACATAATAAAAATATTGGAGATATTCTCAAATTTCTGTGTTTTAAATTTCAAGAGCGTATGTTTATTACTTTTTCTTTAATAATATTTTTATTACCCTTTCTTTAAGAGCTACAGATTATCATAACATCAAAAACACACTGCAATGACGTCAACCTACCTATCAATTGCAAAATCAGTTATATCAAATTGTTATTACATTTTTTTACCTATGATTTCTTAATTTTATTTAATTCTAATAATTAAGGGAAAAAAGTTGCATTAAAACAGTAAATACGCTTCATTTTACTATGATGCACGAAATATTGTGCAATGGAAACTATAGTCGGCCCCCTTAAGTGAAGTAGAAATTGTGCAACAGAAAATAGCAAACAATTAACAGGCATATTCTCACTAGGGACATAAAATAACAAACAATCAATTTATATATACATGGAGATAGGGATGTGCGATTTTATCGGTATACCGGTATATGATGGTTTTTCAGTGAGATTAAATTTGAACGTTTAATATCTTTAGGTACAAGGTAAAGTCCAGAAATAATTCATTTATTTGTTCAATCTTTCAAATTACAAGTACAGAAAATATAAAAAATGTTGTAAAAAGTGAAAAGAACAGCATCTTACCATGCTTACTGTCCAAACATAATTGATTTTATATGCATAAAAATTTCAAGAAAGTAAAATTTTGTTTTTCTAGCATATTTTTTAGAAAAATAATGACTTTTCATATAAAATCATTGGGTCATCCTTAAAAAATTGTTTGTTTGAGATTGCCGCCTGGAGGGTTTGACACATGGAAATTATTATTTTTTTTAATTAAATAAATTATAAATTTTTGATAAAAATCTCAGAACAAAAATACCTAATTTTACATAGATCTGACACTACATTTCAGTGTTTTTATGGTGCGTGTGATACATGTAATGGGCAAAAAAAATTGATTTTTAAAAAAAAATCTTCCTATTTTGGTCAATAAAATTTTTTCAGGAGGGGGGCATTTTTCAAACAAACTATAATTTTATTTTGGCCTTGTAAAAACTGCTTTTAAAAATAACATGATATTATCGTGATATTGTGGGAAAAAATCGTGATATATCGCGATACGAAATTTTTGGCGATACCCATCCCTACATGGAGATTCAGGGGGCCCAGGTTCATATCTAGCTGGTCTGGTACACTGCATTTTTCTCCTCTCCCGTTACATTTGGAGCTGTACCATGACCTGGAACTGACAGGTGAGAGACCGGCTAGGGATGAACCTGGGTTGGGGTCTTTGAGGGATCAAAGACTCTTAAGAAGGGAGCAATGTGGCAGTCAGCCATGTTCGATTGCCTGTGGCCAGATAGCTGTATTTGTAGAGCACCTGACTGGAGATTCAGGGGGCCTGGGTTCAAATTCCGGTTTGATCTGCTGCATTTTTTCCCTCTCCCATTGCACATGTTTTATACAGTACATCTATTCTTAAGTATTGCAATATATTTTGATTTGATCATAAACCTTTAACTAAATTCAATATTCTATAATAATTTTGGAGAGGCAGTCTCCCCACCAACAGCCACCGACCAAACGACAAATAGGGAGATAACTTCTGCAGAAAACTGAAGATGATCAGACTAAATACCAGCTGGGCCCCCAACACCGCCATCCCGCTGGTTATCTTTGTCCAGAGAAATCTTCAGTTTCTGAAATAAAGGAATTTTTTATCCTTAAATTAAACTTGTAGAATAATGTTCATACCTGTCACCTCCTAACCACAAAAGTAATTCATTACTTTTAGTTTACAACTACAGAGCCACTCATACATGTACAGTAACGTGGCTGCAAGTATTAATACAATCACAAGTAATCAACTGGTGTTCATGAACAAACCTAAGGCAATATATTAAACACAATTAAAATTATACCACAGGGTGTGTATCTTACACATTTAATCATTTATTGGCACTCTCCTGTATTTATTATGTAAATTAATCATCTAGTAATTTATACTACAGAGTGTTGACATTTCTTATTAAAGTTGAATCTTTTTCCAAGAGATCTTACATGTATCTGACAACACTGTAACAATTTTTTCATTAACTAAAGAAATATGATAGATCTAGGAATTTTGTTTTCCTCTCTTGCAAAGTAGACTCAAAGTCGATGAATACCATTTAAATATATGAATCGTCAATGTAAATAACTGAAATTCCTGTATTCACTGGACAACAGGACACAAGTCATAATAAAAAAAAAAAGCAGGGGCTAGAGTCAGAAGAATCTCTTGATAAATGCACATCAGAAAATCAGCAAACAATTAACACCCATTTTAATAATTGAACATTTTATCTAGATTTTAAAGAGGCCTTCCTTAGCATTATTTTAATCTTTTAAACATGTGTCACTGTATACAAAGTGCTAATCGAAAATCTACTTGATTTGGATCACTAGCTATATTGCTTTGGGTACTCTGATGCATTATTAAAAAAGAAAATTTGCAGGCTCCAGAAATTAGAAAACTTATTAAACCTTTGCAGAATCAATGTAAATTTATTTGAGGAAATTTTTAAGTTGAAACCGGTACCATCTCCTAAGTTAAAATGCTATTTTCACTCATTTTGAATTATTTCAACATTTTTTTCAAAGTATATTCTGTTGTAAAAGTTATTGTATATAAGTTTTCTCCTCAATTCACCCACGAAACATCATCTGATTTCTATGCATTACGCTTTTTGAGAAATTGAGCTATTCTTGTTTTGAGTGATGAGATATGTTTGCAACATATTTTTGCGATTGCTATACTTTTTTCGGATCCTTTTACTGATTTGCATGAAATCAAGATTTATTGTTTTTTGATAAAATTATTGCGATTTCAACAGTTTTGAAAACATATTGGCATTCATAATCACAAGAGAAACATTTATCAGTCAAAAGAAGTTAAACAGAAATAAATAATTATAGAATTTGATGAAATGTGCAATCATTGCTGGTGTTTGTGCTATACAGATTTGCATTTTGTATTTGTAGAAATGCTATGTTTGATTTGCCTACTGAAGAATGGTGGCGTATATGGGGTGGGTGGGTTATAATCCAAAGACACTTTCTCAAATTTCTGCCATTAAATAATTTACAATGTATTGATAAATATACAATGATTGTAAAGCGCTTTGAGTAGCATTTATGCTAGAAAAGCGCTATATAAATCCAATCATTATTATTATTATTATTATTATACATTTTCACTAATGTTTTAAAGGTATGTAATAAGGAAAATATATTTTGATTTGATCTCTTCAAAGCCAATGATTTGAATGCGTTAACCCTACGCCACGGTGACCTCAATGGTTGTGTGAGTTTGCTAAAAAAAAATTTTTTTGAGACAAAAAATATTTTTCCTATTATTTAAACTTCCCCTGATTCTCACCCAACTGTTAGACCTTTGTTTTTATACTCAATTTGATCCGAAACCTTTCCCCCTCCCCTGATAACTGGGTGATCAAGGAATGCTTACTCCTCCTACCTTTGCCCCTCCCAGCTCACAGATTTGTATTGTTTGTAAATTTTTCGATCATTAAACAATGCCATTTCCTCACTTTTTTAACATTCCCGACTTTAAAATAACTGGGTTCAGATCTCCATTTAGAAAAAACACAGTGGGTTTACTTTTCCTAATATAAGCACAAAACCCTCCCATTCATATTCAGAAATAAATTCTTATGGCTGGAATCATTTAATATTAACGTACTCATTTACCACTTAAAAAGTTAAAAAAACAATTTTCAATTAACATGTTCTTTCGGTACAATACTATTATATGAATTAAATATGTTGAAGATGACATTACCGACAACATAATTGTAGAAAAATCAAATCCGGGTGATTGTCCTACCTTTACACTTTCTCTCTCTCTCTTATAAATCTATGATAACTAATATTTCACCTATTTTCACACTATCATCAGTATCCTAAAACCTGAAACGCTGGGTTAAAGAAATTCAAAAAATATATCTCCCTATTGATTACAGATACTTTGACCAAACGACAAATCGAGAGAGATAACTTCTTACATGAAAACTGAATATGATCAGACAATACCAGCTGGGCCCCCAACACCGCCATCCCGCTGGTTATCTTTGTCCAGAGAAATCTTGGGTTTCTGAAATAAAGGAAATTTTTATCCTTAAATGAAACTTGTAGAATAATGTTCATACCTGTCACCTCCTAACCACAAAAGTAATTCATTACTTTTAGTTTACAACTACAGAGCCACTCATACATGTACAGTAACGTGGCTGCAAGTGTTAATACAATCACAAGTAATCAACTGGTGTTCATGAACAAACCTAAGGCAATGGGAGTATTAAACACAATTAAAATTATACCACAGGGTGTGTATCTTACACAGTTAATCATTTATTGGCACTCTACTGTATTTATTATGTAAATTAATCATCTAGTAATTTATACTACAGAGTGCTGACATTTCTTATTAAAGTTGAGAAATTTTTTTCCAAGATGATCTTACATGTATCTGACAGAGTCTACTGTAACAATTTTTTCATTAACTAAAGAAATATGATAGATCTAGGAATTTTGTTTTCCTCTCTTGCAAAGTAGACTCAAAGTAGCTGTCATGAATACCATTTAAATATATGAATCGTCAATGTAAATAACTGAAATTCCTGTATTCACTGGACAACAGGACACAAGTCATAATAAAAAAAAAGCAGGGGCTAGAGTCAGAAGAATCTCTGTCCGGATAAATGCACATCAGTAGCTCGAATCAGCTCCAGATCCTACCCATTTTAATAATTGAAGATTTTATCTAGATTTTAAAGAGGCCTTCCTTAGCATTATTTTAATCTTTTAAACATGTGTGATAATGCCCAACTTTGGTGCCAGGCACATTACTGGAAGAAGATGAAGAAGGATAATATTTACAGCTGATTTAGATTTACGTTGACCCAGGCCCTTGCAAATAAATCATGGTTATTCAATCAATTTCATTTTTGCTATGAACTATCAATACAAAAATATTGGTCAATCTGCACATCATTGTGCTCGCACCTTAGAAACAGAAAATTCGCGATTTACATGTGAATGAAGACGACAAATTCTTAACCCAAATTATATTCTAATAAATAAATCATCGTGTACTTCTTGTAAAAGACTGTGCCCCACTACCTAAAAGAATATATAAAACTTACATATGACCTACTGGGGGCAAATCTGTAGAGGACACGCTTCGGCTTCTTCGAGAAAACTTGGAAAGTCAACCTCACCGCGGTGCGTTCGGCATTAGACAACTCAAGCATCAACTTCATTTTATCAGATTTCACGATTGATTAAATGCCCATTAGTTTAATCACAGATCTCTACCTTGGGTCTATGGTTTTAATAAATTTCTAGATAATACATATCAATATTTCATAATGCCTAAATATTTAGAATTAAGAATAACGATATCACAAGCAGGGTTTACCTAAATCTATTTATAGAACAAAGAACGCAACCTTGTCTAAAATAAGCAATACGTCGTGCTCTCTGTTTTTAATCTTCTTAATAGATTTACACGGAAATAAAATTATTGTAATGATTTATAGATCTAAATATATGTTTCGACAGTAATTCGAGATATTTTAAAGGCGTATGTTATTCAAAGTTTCCCAATGTTTCGATGCAAAAGGAATCCAAAAATAATTTCGTTTTCCCAAAGTTTATTTTTAGAATTGCACTCTATATATATAACAACAAGTTAACAGTAACTGAGTTACTTGCATATTCACCAAGAACACGATCCAAACCATTTATTAGTTGTGCTACGATTTGGAGAATTTCTACCTCAAGATGCAAGGAAATGCTAGCAAAAAGACAGCGCTGGAGCAGTTGGGGGTCTCCTTCGCCAAGCCCAAGTATCCCTCTCATTCCGTCCTAGCAAAAAGAGTCTCGACATTTTCTACGTGGAACCATCACCAGCCTGCAGACACAATGGCTAAAGCTGGCTTTTTCTACACGGGTAAGACATTTGTCATATGTTTAAACTAATTACTAATCATGATTGAATTTGTTTTAATAATTACCCCCCCCCCCCCCGGAAGAAAATTGAAACTACTTAGTTATAAAGAAATATCCCCGTATAGCCATGATCATGATGATAGTGGATATATAAAAAAAATAATATACATTTCTTTAAAATAAAAAATCCTTATACACTTTCATATTTTTCTGTGTCTATATTGCATGATAATTTGCCTAATATAAAATATTGAAACATTTTCAAATTCCAGGCAATGGCGACAATGTTCGTTGTTTTTTCTGCGGAAATGGTCTGGAGAACTGGGAGAGAGAAGATGACCCCTGGGTCGAGCATGCCCACTGGTTCCCAGAATGTGTCTTCCTCATCCAATGTAAAGGGAAAAGTTTTGTTCTAGAAGTTCAACAAATCGTAGCACAACGACAATGCCAACAGGTCTGTACAAATTATTCTATTCTATAGGTACATGTACAAGTACTTTACAGACTTTAAAATGCACAGTGGCATATATTGGTAGAAGAGCATTTATGATATTGTACACCTTAATTATCCTACTAGAGTACATTTTAGTTGAATTTTGTTTAAATTTATGCTTTAGGATCGGGTACCAGAATTAGGAAGTCTCAGCCAATACAATCAAGAGAGGGGCGTAGTTAGTGCCCCTAGCTCTCCCGACTGTTCTCTACAAAGTTTAGCCGCCATCACGGCATTACAAATGGGATATTCCGAGGTAATGGTCAAAAAAGCCATTCGGGATTGGAACTCCCGCTATGGTTCAGCGAGTTTCTCTGTATCAGACATTGTGAATTTGATTCTAGATTACCAAGACCAAGGATACGGTTCGCTGGAGGATCTAGAGCAGGAGGAAAGTAGTTCTGTGAGTGACAATCGGACGGAAACGACTAATATAAATGGTATCGAAAACAATAGGACTAAACATAACACAAATTCTGATGATTTAACGCAGACTGATAGGACATTACCACCATTAACTAATGATAAAAAAGATAGCGAAGATAAAAGTAGTTGTGACTCCGGGTATGATTCTGATAGTGAAAATGAAAGTGAAAGAACAGGTGATTCTAATCTGAATTTGGAAAAGGAAACTGAAAAACTTAGAGCCGAAAACAAAGAACTAAGAGATACGCTTATTTGTAAAGTTTGTATGGACGACACGGTTAGTGTAATATTTCTGCCATGCACACACATGGTGACATGTGCTCAGTGTTTTCCCGCCATGAAACAGTGCCCCGTATGTAGGTCAGATGTCAAGGCAATTGTCAAAGCTTATTTGGTTTGATATATATATTGATTTTATATATCTAAAAGGGAGACTTTAAAGCTGTTTATATGAGCAAATTACTTTGTTCCCTCCTTAAAAGTTCTGTAAAAAGTCAATTTTTATTAATACATATCTGGAAATTAACGGCATTATTAATGAGTTGAGATGGACACATTTTAAATTTTTTATTTGTTTGTTTCATTGTTTTTTTGTGTGTGTGTCCAATTTTTTTTAAAAAGAAAATTTAGAAATCTTAATTATCAAATTACCTCGCTGTAGATAATACAATTTTTAAAAAAAATTCAAAACATACAGTATTTCTTTAAGTATAATGTGTAAACTAGTGTTTTATACTATATACATGTATAAGCAGTCTTCAAATAATGAAATCTGATTATATTTTATTATGCAAAATACAAATCTAAAAAAATAAGATCTCTTTTGTTAAAGGAATTCGAACACTCGTGATATTTATTTCTGAATCCACAAACATAGCATTGGTGAATATATTTCAAGAGTATCATGACCAGCTTCTTCAAGTTTTTTTTCCATATAAAGTACACATAATTATAAAACATTTTATCGGGTGGATGTAAACACGAACATTATAGAACGTGACAAAACAATCAATTTTATATTCATAACAAAAACACAATGGTTTGTTTTAAATTTACTAGGCGAGATTTAAAAAAATATAGCATGACTATTGTCTATTTTTTTTTCCACTTGTATAAATTCAAAATATATAGACCGACATAAATGACAAACGAAGTACGTTTGAATTTCCAAGTTGAATTATTTTAAATAATTCAGGTAATGCTTGTTTAATCTTCGACATCTTTGACATATTCCGAAAACATCAAAGCGACAACATTTTCATTTTTTTTTTTTTCAATTCCGAGAAATAAGAATAAAGAAAAAAATCTCAATAGACCTCTTCTTGCGTTATTAACAGAATTGGAGACAAGTCAAGGATTTTCAAAATTTCATTTATATTTCAAAACGGACATGAACAAACAAGTCACTTGAAACCTATGGAACTTTTCCGGATCATCAATCAAGATTGGCCCATTTTTCCAAATCATGAGGGAAACTATTAAGGGAATTTTCCCAGTGACATCCAAAATACGAGATAAATTTATATATCTGGTTTTTCCCCAAAGTTTTTGAAGCTATTTTTAAGGACGACATCGACCGACAAAATGAATGAGGTAGAACGGAATTACGTTGACGTATTTAATGATTCACTGAAGTCAATAAACACTCAAAAATTTAACTGCCTCAAACAATTTATAAAAAGAAATATTCACATTAATTCTTACTCTATTTCATTGGTATTATAGTAAATCAGCTACTTTAATATAATTTTTTAATTTCAAATATACATTTATTTTCTTCTTTTATTCATAAAAGAAAATGTTGCCTACAACGAAAAGCTTATTTCATTACAAAACCTTTTTTTTTTCATTAATTAGAGTACCTATCATTTTCCAAGTTCAAGTTCATTTATTCACTCGTCACGGTATATGAGGACAATGAAAAATATTTACAGCATAAAAATTCAGGTCTGACAGAGGTACAAGTATATGATATACATAATCAGAAAATGAAAAGGGAGAGAAAGAAAAAGAAAAACATATAAAAATGTAATAATGAAATAAGTGCGGGGGGAAATCGTGGAGGACAGACTAAATCATATATTTTTGATATAAAGGCACATATTTTTAAAAGTGTTTTAGCATCTTGTTTTGTTATCAGTTGAGAAAAGTTAAGAATACTTGGTCTACTAAATTATAATTAGTGTTCATTAATATACTTTTTCCTAATGTTTGACAATGCAATACATTCATTAGTACATGTGTCTTCTCACAAATTTTCATTAAAATAGAAAATTTGGTGTTATTACAAATAGTCATAACACCAAATTTTCTATTTTAATAAAAATTTATGGGAAGACACATGTATAAAATGAAATTCGACAACAACATATTTAGCATTAGAAAGTGTGTACACACAGTCTTTAAAATACTTAGATAATTTTCACACTCGAAATTTGTTATAAAAAGTTTATACACAATACCTTTAGATGAACTATTAATATCAGAGTGCCATTTTTTGCATAAATTGAACATGTAATCTTTGCTTAACAGCGGTAGTAACCCAATCTTGATTAAGAATATAATAAAACTGTTTATTCCAAATATGAGATAGTCCACATGAATCAAAAATACGATGAACACAGTCAATCCAAGGATTCTTACCAATTTCAGATTGTAGATCAGCAACTAAATATTGATATTATAATATACATGAAATTTTCTTTTCTGCGCTATTCAATAATTTACCCCAATATGAGACTATTCTGGAATAAATAAGGACAAATAATTGGAAACGTCCTGTTTCACCGGTAACCATATCATTCGGGGTACTACTTTTAAAAATATGTTACGAAAAATTTTAATGAACGCATTCAATAATATCAAGGTTTTCAAAACCACAGATTTCACAACCATAGAGTAACACTGGTAAAACCATTTTATCGAACAAATCAAGCTGACATGCTACAGGGAGATAAAATTGTCTAATTTTCCTGATAACACCATACATTGCTTTTTGGGCTTGGTCACAAAGATGTTTCTTGGCTTTTAGAAAAGAGCCAGATCTTGAAAAAATGATACCAAGATATTTAAAATTCTTTCACAATTTCTAGACTCTTGTCAATATTTACTTTCAATTTCCACTCTGAACAGTAGCATTCTAATTCATTCAAAGCATTTTGTAGATCATCAGGAGTTAATTTCTGCTAAAATGACAGTATCACCTGCATATAAAAGTATAATAAGTTTCAAATACACACATAATTAATTTTCTATTGAAGTAGTAAGCTTTGTAAGCCAATCATAGGCGTCGGAAGCAAATCAAAAGTGAGGGGGGAGGGGTAATTGAAAGGGGGGGGGGCTAAATCAACAAAAAAGTATATACCCATATTTTCAATGCATATATATTATGTATATATCTGCAAACTAAGTGGGGGGGGGGGGGGCGCTAAGCTCCCCCTAGCCCCCCCCCCCCCGGTTCCGACGCCTATGCCAATTATATTTCTATCAACAAGATAATTTTCTAGGTCATTAATGTACAAGGAAAATAAAATAGGTGAAAAGTTTTCCCCTGCCGGACTCCGACATTACAAGAGAAAAAAATCGGTTGTCGTGCCGTTCATCTTTATAAGTGATTTAATTCCCTGATACACATTTGTAATATACGTTAAGCATTTGCCTTTATTTCCATAATTTAAAAGTTTACTCCAGAGACCATTTTCCAGTGTTAAATGCTTGCTTGAAATCCATATATTAAAAGCACAAACACTTCATCAGTGTGTTTGATAAAAAAATGTAAACTGTCAAAATATGGTCTAGAGTAAAAAATTCTTTTCTAAAACCTGCTTGATTCTCTTGAATGAGTTAAATCTCATCTGAGTACATTTCTAAACGCTTGCTTAGCATATATGTGAAAAGTTTACCCAAGCAACTCAATAAAGAAATAGGACGGTAGTTTTCAGGGGAAGTTGGATCGCCGTTGTTTTTGTAAATAGGTGTAACAATAGTTATACCTTAGTATTAAAAAATAATAATAATGTTAAACAGTACATTAAAATCATTTCCGAAAAATGTCTTAATAGATTATAAGATAATTGTCTTACTAGTCTTAATATCCTATTAATAATACTATTATTATGATAATGATGTATCATCTTATTATAATAAATAAAAATTGAATTTTTGTATAAAATGATATTGAACGGTGAAGTAATATTTTTATCTTAAAAAATCAAATTGATAAACGTACATAATAAAATCTGTTTACATGTATTGTTCTACACAGCTCTGCAAATCCTCTCCCTTTCCCCAAGTGGCTCACTTGGACCCAGTTAATAAAGCTGAGGTGTAAGTCAAAAATAAAATTTGAAAAATATACCACAAAAACCCTCAAACTATAAGAATTTACTTACCATGACACCTCTTTTTCCAATTTACATAGAAAACAATTGAAGTAAAGACTCAATTAACGTGTTATTTGTGTATATACTCATACATGTAGCTGCGCCCTAGAAAGAAGCGAGAAAGTTCAATAATACACTTGTACTTTTGTTTAGGGTTATTAAAATTTCATTATACCATGCAGATACATTGTTTATCTCTTTTACCACATGGATCGAGTGTAAAAGTACTTGCATCCGATTAATGTGTTCAAAATTTTTGCTACATGTATATACGTTACATTACCGCTACATAAAAAAGTATACATTACCGCTACATTGCCTCTTTCGTTAGCCAGCCACATATGCGTGTACAGTACAACCTATAAATGCATAAGACCCGTTTCCCCTGCTCATCACGGGGAGGTGAAAGTGGGACTTTGAGCAGGATGTTTTATTTTCTATTATTATTATTAAAATCAATTTTATTTCATAAAACACACACACACAAAAAAAAAAAAAAATAAAATCAAGCTCTGTTCATAGATAAAATTCTAAGTTTTGTCAAATGTTTTTACACTATCGCTAAAGCCTTGAAAGCCATTTGCTTGACATATTGTTGTTTTCTAAATTTATAACCATCGATAAGTAAGCCGGCATTCCCCCATCTCATCGTCGCAAACCACGGCCAAAATCTCCCAGAGAGCTATTATTAAAATTTCGACTTGTAACAAACTTCTCAATTGTGGTCATAATGTTCAGATGACGCTAAATAATTAAATTTCGACTGCAGAGTTATTTATATAAAATTAATATATATTCATTCTGATCAGATAGTTAGTGAATTCTGTTGATTAGAACTCATATACCGAACTATACCTGGCTAAATCGATATGTAGCGGTAATGAGTTGTTTTGGGCTGATTCAATATGTAGCGGTAATGAGTTGTTTTTGGCCAGAAATATGTAGCGGTAATGATCGGTCGAAAATCTGAAAAAATGTAGCGGTAATGAGTTGAAATTTTTGACAATGTAGCGGTAATGTTGACCTCCCCCGATTTTGAATTAAAGGTGTGCTCTCTCAAAATGAAAATTGAATGTTGGAAAGAAAGAAAATATATTTATTTGATAGAAATGAGAAATGAGGATCATGTCTTTATTGTACTTAACTTCAATCACTGCATTACATCACAATTGATGTAGGCTATGTCGCAAATATATATCTAAATGCTTAAAAGGATTCTTTAAGAGCATTACTAATTCACTTGTATGTACGTGATGATGCTATTTTGTATATATTTTTTTAAATTGCATTCTATAAAACAAACAAGATAAGATTAAAATTTTATTTGTTTTGAGATGAAAACAGTTTTATTCAAAGACGATTTGGGAAAGTGGGCTTGAATATACCATAAATAAAATAAGATTAGAATTTTATTTGTTTTGAGGTACATGTAAATATAGTTTTATTAAAAGATTTGGCACAGTGGGTCTGAATGTACATTGTATGCATTGCAATATACATGTAATATCTTGGTATCAAAATACACAATTAAGACAGTTCAATTTATGTTTCTGTCATAAATTGTTCTAAAATTACAACACCAACAACAGACTGATGGATATAACTTTTGGATATATTTTAGAAAATTTGGAAAATGAAATTATAGTGCAATGTCATATTTAAAAATAAAAATGAAATGAGATTAAAATTAATTTATTAAATATATATAGATAAAAAGTATAAACGTTTTTAAAATCACTGAGAGAATAGGATTAAAATACAATTTGAAAACAAATATATTTAAATATATATATTTACATAAATACAACTATATTTAATGACAACAATTCAATACAAAATCTCATTCTTTTTAAAAACCAATCCAAAGAGTACCATAATAAAAATGTTTTCAATGCTTTTTCTATACTTATATTTTTTGTAAGTTCTAATGTATGTTTATAAATGATTGTATAATATAAAAGATATGACCAGAATATTAAATATTGATACGTCAACCGAGGCTATAAATTGTCTAGAAATGTCGTCATTAATTATTTTGTTAGTAATATACATTTAAGATAAATATCTAATGCAATATTGAAAATTGAGAGAGGAAATTCTGATAAAAATATTTTCACAAACTTTGATACTTAATTTTATTTAACCAGCACTTCTCATGTCTTCAATATGTTCCATTATTCAAAGTATCCATTACCTTGCTATGCCTTGCTGAAAAAATAATCTTTGTTATAGCACACACTCACAAGTGACTGGGGATGCGTAGAAAAATTCCCAGAGGCAAAACATGCAAAAAGCATAAAAAGGTTTCTTTGGTATTATTTTTGGTTATTACTCCTATATTAAGTTTGATAAATCTATTAATATTTTCACTTGTCTAATTCACGATATTTCTTTTGGGCCTGTATGCATTTCAAACTGTCTCCCAACACTAAGCCTAAAACATTCATTAGATCTTCCTTTCCCAACAACAGGAAAATCTCCAAACTGTCAATTCCATTTCTCTGACATTTATCTTTAACAAATGCGATACTAAAGTCTTCCAAAAACTCTTCAAAATGTTGCAGGTAATAGTCTGAAATAGAAAATTCGAAGAAAACGTTAAGAAGACTGATTACACGAGACCGAAATGCAATTTTTAGAGTCAGATACATGTGTATGATTAACTCACCTTGATTTTTCCTTTGAGAAGACACCCGCTGACCCGGTGGAATGGCCACCTGTGCACGTGAAGCCTCAGACCCAGAGGGAACGTTTACGTTTGATTGACTTTTTTGGGTATTCGAACCCTGATTCAAATTACGGTCATTGGGTTTGGCTTTTATAGTTACACTTTCCTTGGTCTTTGTTTTTTCTTGTATTGACTTTGAAGGTTTGGTTGACGCTATTTGAGGTATTTGTGGATCTTTTCGAATCGTTTTTGGTAAATTCCATGGATCAAATGTTACGGTGTGTAATACCATCTTTCTCCCGGAATCCATACTATAGATGATGGAAGAAAAAGCTACACCATGCATACCACCTTTTTTTCGAAGAGGAGGAAAAATATGATTATCTTCCGCTATTGGAAAGAATGTTATAAGAAGCGAATTTTTCGGAACCTCTGGCCCAACGACGGAGTTCCCGGTCACATTAACTCTAAGTCGTTGACGCTCCGCTATAAAGATATCCTTTGAATCAGAATCTTTGAGTTTCCTTAAACTGGTATGCTCCTCCAATCGCTTCTGTTCTAGAGATTTCCAGTCCTCCTTTTTGACAAGTTCACACCAGATTTGGACATATTCCTCAGAGACTTTCTTTAGAAAAGTGATGAGCTTACAGTGATAAATAAATCCAAGTGAAATGAGGACCTCCATGCTACTTATGCTGTCTACACTACCACGCCTAACCCTTGCACCTATGTACCTAAAACCAATAAAAGCAAACTGTTAAAAATAAAGATTTATTACACTCCCTCCTCCCTAATTTGAAATATTTGATTTTAGGCAAAAAAAATCTTGTAAATCTACATTATTATAAAGTATTGTACTGCTTAATTGAAGTAACAACAACCCCCTCCCAATTTTCCTTTCAGAGACGTACGTGCTGAATTTGTCCACATTTGTAATAATCGTGTCCCCTCTTCTTTCTATGCGCTGGTTTTTCAGCTGAGTCACTTTGTCACCATTTATGTGGAAATACACGTATTCCATATCTAGTGAGTCAACGTCTGTTTCTTCGGCCTCATCAAGCTTTTCCATTGGTAGATGAACTTCAACTTCCCTGCTGAGTACTTTTGCCTCTACGTGTATTCCCTTTGTGACAGAGAGAAACTGATATTGGTCTGGAAACATGATTCTTCTCTTTTTCATTTCTTCCACTTTTACTGGGAACACCTGTGAAATAGAATAACAAGACATAGAAAGACCAAATCAAAGTGGGTTTATAAAGGACGCTGAAAACAAAACTCTCTAAATATTTTGAATATGTACATGTTATATGTTTGTAGAAAATATTTTAAATTTTTTTGTACCGTGATCTTAAAGTTTTCTCTTTCTTTTACAGCCCCTTCTGGTATGTTCAATCGAACACGCCTGTCTGTTCTGTGGATGTATTGACTACCGCTGGGTTCCACATTGAAGTCTCTTTCTCTAGGTGTTCCAAGGATGAAAAATGCCTCCACTTTTTCTAATCGAAACACGACGTACTCACCCTAAATACCAGGAAACGAAGGTAATCATTAACACCGTATTTTACACTAGAATATGACGTCATGGTACATTGCAATATGATGTCATGGTAAAGATTTAAATAGTTTTACCTGACATTGAGTTTCGGAGATGCTCCATTTTCCATCATAGAGTACCTTTGCTTGAAGCACCATGTCTGCTATGTGTTTTACAGCTTTGCTTGCAACATAAAAAGTTATTTTTTGTCCCCCACCCAGCGTGACACAGCATCTTTTTGTTTGTCCATTATTGTTGCTTTCAAACCAGTATATATTAGTTTCCATTGTTTGGAAAGTCTCTAGCGATGGCAAATTCTCCACCCGCTCTTGATATCCCCATGAACGAGTGCTTATTGTTTTTAAAACAGACTCCGTTACACGTCCATCAAGATCTATTCTAATCAGGTTTCTGTAGCATTTAAAACTTTTGATAAGATATTTCACTACATAAATTTAATTCAAATACAGTAAAACAACACTATAACGTAGGTTTAACACATTTTAACAGATGAATTGTTTTATAAAGTTATGATAAATGAAGTCTTTGGAGGTTTTTATGAAAAAAGATAATGTATAAATCAAAATATATATCTTGTATACATACCAAAGAATTCTATAGAACTTACTGTTTTGAACTTTCCACAGCTATGTCCATCATTAAGTTAATTTTCTTTGTTACCATGGTGACACTGCTCTTCAATGGGTTCAGAAAACCGGATTTATCCTGCTCCGTTTTTCTAATAATATCATCTACAGCAGTCGTTACCTTTTTGTTTTCATCTCCAAAGGCTGTCGTATTCTATGTTTTGAAAAGACAAAATGCACATGAACAGAACACATGAACAGAGTCCCACTTCCAACTGACATTACCTCTCGATGATATTTTTGTTCAGTTTTATTGAAATTATAAATATGTGTGTGTCTCACCGCCCATTACAACTCCATCTGGCATTACCCCCAATGATAATTATTGTTTAGTTTTATTGCATCCCCTTTATACTTATTTTTTAGATCATGAATATGCGTGTCTCACCGCCCACTGGGACAGCCCTCCTTCCCTGACACTCTCATCTGCACACTCCGTCCACAGGGACACAGTCTGTATGCCCTGTGTTACTTGTTCCTCAATCACCTGTTGCCTGTGTTAAAGAGTACATTACTAGTACATTAATTTTTTTTAAGTTAAAAAAGAAGTGTCCAAATAAGTGATCATGTATACCTAAAACACTGTATGTACATTACATAAGGACTTAAAATACATCATCAGAAATGATTCACAAGGACCAGGGTTCATCTTTTTTAGCCCTGTGAAATCATTCATATATAGGCTACCTTATCAGATTATTACAGTATGAATAATTCCTTTTCAGTTTATTTAAAAAAAAAAAACAATTACATATTTCAACCCTTCAGTGCATTGAATGACTTTTAATTATGGTTTATGACGTACACTTGTTCTCTTTCCCGGTCCCTTCCATCTCCCTCTAGAGCCAAAGTATCCAGAGCACTGTTAATGACATCAAGAGACTCCAGAACCGGCTGATAGAACTCGGTAAGCACTCTGGGATCCGAATTGTTCTTAAGTTGGTTTTCACGCGTAAAAAGGTCCTGTGTTTATAACAAAACAGGTTTCTACATTTAATTATGTATATTAAGCCATTAGTTTACAGCTTTATGTATATTTCTTGTTACTTTATAAACACTCACTCATATTTTGAATTAAAACGTACATATCTTAAAATCTATTTTGGAGGAGTTTTCTTTTAATGCTTTTTGGATGAATATTTAAAAGGATCAAATCAAAGCAGATCTAAATATTGTTCTCTATTTAAATTGTAATCATACTTGGTAGCAATAATAAAAGAATATATCAACAATTTATTGAAATGTTTTAGTATGCTGTAATGTTTTTTGTGTTTTGAAAATAAGAAAAAATATTATATTAGATTTTTATAAAAACACACAGATACTGAGATATGTGTTTTTGTTTTAAAGTTGTATCTTACCTATCGGAAAAAGGACTAGATCTGATGCCTCGAGATAAGATCTTTGAGTCTTTGTCATTGTTTATCGTTATGCTTTGTATTACTGTTTAGGTCCTTGTATTGTCATTTACAACCCATATATTTTGTACCTTTTATTGAAGAAGTTTTACAGAACATTTACTGACAATTTATTTGAATTATGAATTTCTTACCTCTTGAATAAACGAATTCATGTTTGCTTTTCTTTTGAAACTGAAAGCACCAAAACTCCAAGTCTATATGTTACCTCTTTCACAAATAAAGATGATCGAACAGCAAGGAACAATTATACAGACCTCATACAACTAGGAAGTTTAAAAGATTTTGGAGATATATTGACTGATCACGGGAGACTTGGCTTTTAAATCAGCCAATATATCAATCAGTACATGGCTTGCTACAACTAATAACACATTTGGATTGCAATCTGTTTATAATGTCTGATAATGAGTTCTTAAAGTTGATAAATCAAAAACGAACAATCTGTTGTGTAAAGGCTTTAGTTTTACATGTATGAAATAAACAAACAGTAGTAAAAATGTGGATCATGTCCCTTTTGTCGCAATATATACTTGAAATTTAATCGAAAATCAACACCAATACTCATGTTTTTCCCCACATGTTTGAAATTATGGTAGATAATCACCATTTTGAAAGAAAAGTAGTGTTGTATTTAAGGGATTATTCACAATTACAAACAGGAATATCACGTGTCTCAAGTGGTACCTTCGTGTGACTTCGTGAGCCTTCAGTAAAATGTTAAGCCTCGTTTTTGAAGCTACAAAATCAATTTTATCACAAATCTAAGACTTCACCCAAATCCTACATTTTTGTTTATACTTCTAGCAAAGGAAAAGAAATGTTGCAACTTGAAAATATGCAGTAGCAATAATTAGGATAAGTCCCTTCTAATTCTGTGGCATTCAGAGTAAAACTTTTTGAGGAATAACCTTTTTTACAACGCTCTTGATTTTACTTACTAGTAGTCACTTCATTATTTAAAAAATATAGCGTAGCAGTTGAATGTTTTTCATGGACAACAGAAATAAGAACTATTATTTCCGTCTCAAACTTTGTATGTTTTTTTCTAAGAAGTGGTAAGAATATCACATGTTTACCCTACTATACCATGAATAACACCCAAAGGACATTTGTTTCATAAACCTATGCTTTGACGCCACAATGCTGTTTGTGTAAAAGTGATGAAGTAACAAGCAAATTCAAAGAATTTTGGTCCCCCACTTTCGGTGTCTTTGTGTGTGAGATGTCAATTTTTTATGACATATTGTGTCAAATATGAACTTCCTATCAAATATCATTTAAAGATTATCACTAAAGTTGATTTTTATTGAAAATAAGGTCAATCGTGAAGGTCATGGGGTCAGAAATCATAGCATCCTCGGAAATATATTGTCACAAGTAATGCATGTCAAATATGAAAGCCCTATCTCTTCTCAATATAAGGAACAGGATGTGTTTGTGAAACACTGATGACCCGTATGGCAACAAAGCGAAGATTACAGGGCAAGGATCAGCTATTTGTAAATAATAACGGCCGTCACAGTGAAAAAAATTGTGTCAATATTTTTACATTTTTTCTAATTAAATACATTTATATCTATACCTTCTTTCATTAATTTAATAAGAAAAGATAGTTGCATTTTTATTTTTTAAGAAAATCGCATCCAAATATAGGTGATCAAAAAGTGATGGGCGTTATGTTGACACATATAATGTGAATTTTTAAGTTATTTCGCGTTACAGAGAACCAAAAAAAGACCATCATATGCATGGACCTGACCACACTTTTACTTGGGACGAAGTAGACAAATTTCTATGACCTATCTGTAAAATTAATAAGGCACAATTAGTCGTGACGGAGGTGACATAAATTTTTCCTACTATAGCATTTTCATCATTCGTTTTTCTGCACAGAAATCATGTTTACCGTGAGTTTTTTCTTCTCTAAATGAGGAAATAACACTAGTTTTTCATTAAAAAGCAGAACAGGATACATTAGTTCTTTCTTGAAGAATTTTTTATCCTGTATAATAAACGGATGTTATATTTGACAAATTGACAAACTAAAGGAAGGTAGTTATGGAGGTTACATTGAAGACGCTTTTTAACGCATTTCGTAAGTTTTGTTAAGAATACACACGACTTTTAATACATGCAATGAAGTTAATTTGTCAAATACAACTCCATTTAAACATTCTTCTAATACTAATTAAAACTACTGAAAGTATTTCCATGAATTTTAAGCGCTGTGACGGATGTTACATTATAACATCCCTCACAGTTTTTCGTGGAAGGGATATTTTAACTCTCTACAGCTTTGTAATTTTTATAAATTTAGTAATTTTATTATTTGATCTTCATTAATATACAACTGAAGTTTACTAATAAAATTTTATCTTTAACAAAATAATAAGAAAAAAATCTTGTATCAGCACAGATTTAAATTTTGACAATGGTCAAATAATAACAGGCAATCAGCCAAGAAAATCCTAAGGAGCTGGTAGCATAGCATCTGAAAAGAAAATAAATGAGTTATACCTCTGTTAATTACCTTAAAATATAAACAAATACTCCAAATTTCATGATAATATTATCATACTGCGTAAAGAAGTTATCATTTGACCAGAAAAAGTGTCAACATGTCATATCCGTTTTTCAATTTCTTGTCAACATGTAACAGCCAAATATTGTTATGTTAATAATGTACGAAGACAGGAAAAAAATGCGACTTTAACAGATAAGTAATGGTAAATATTATATTTTCTTTCTATCTTACTGAAAAAAATATGTCCATAAAATTTCTACGTAACATAATCAAATCACTGTGCTTCAGCAGTTATGGTTTGACAATGTTATGTCAGTCAAAATTTAACTGCCGAACACCAAATGACCTCTATGATCGTAATAGTTCTAGAAAAATACTTAAACGTTTGTGTCAAACAATAACTATTATAGATTTTAACACATTGGAGAACATGGCTTGTACATTTTATCATTAAATTTTATACGAATCTAATTCAGTAATTAGCGTGACGTCTGTTATCTAGCAAGAAGTTATTGACCGACAATACAAACTCGCCCACTTTGCCTCCATTTTACGTATCACGGTCGCTTTTCATGACGTTTACTGCAAATGTGTCAAACTCCATACAGTGTCGATTCTCCGAGACTACTTTCGTGCCCTACGAATAACGAATGATATGGAGTTGTAGCGTAACGTAATACTGAGCTGTCTGGAGCTTGCAAATGTGTGGTAAAACTAATAGAAAAAACCGAACTGATTCTATATTCCGCATTGTAAAAGCCATTTTACGACCCAAATTACGGACGTTACGAATTTGACCACACCTGTGCACCTTTGATAAATGTGCGAAAATTTATTATTTTAATCCTTTTACACAAACGTTATTGAAAAGAATCCGTTGAGTATGCTTTAAAGTTAAAGCTAAATATAAAATATTCGTGTATTTTTAATACAATTACATTAATTTCAATGTTTAAAGTTAACCCATCATGTTGACCGACACTCGTAACGTCCGTTATTCAATTTCAAAGCTATTTTTCTCGGGATAATGATAAGCAAATAGTAATTATTTTTATCTAGAATCGTAAGGTAAACATCAATCTTTTAGAATAGTTGTATATAAAAATGTGTTAATTAAAGGTATTTTTAAAAATTGCATTTTTGACACATAGGTTGGAAAATCTCTTATAAGCATGCGCAAAAGTTGGATAATTTTATACAAATTCGGTAATAATAATTTTATTTCTTAAAATAAAAAGATTTAATTGTTTATTGTTTCTCTTTCATATTACAAAATTATAAATACAACTTTATGAATCATAAAAAAAATATATTCCTGTTTATTTCAATTTCAAAAGTGACGGTCGTTATTATTTATAAATAGCTGATCCTTGCCCTACACTTTTCGTAAATTAAATATTTTACAATCCAAAGTAGGGTCTTCTCACAAGAAATACGATTGTGAAATATGGAAGCCCTAACACCACCTGTTAAAAAGTTATGGCCAGTGATGATTTCTTGAAATGTACGTCAAACTCCAAGGTCAAGGGGTCAAAGTTATTGGTTTATTAAAAAAGGTCTCACAAGATTTACATATGTGAAGTATGAAAGCCCTAACCCTAACCGTTCAAAACTTATGACCAAGGTTAAAGTTTTTAAAGAGTAGGTCAAACTCCAAGGTCAAAGTCAAAGTTCTTGATATCCAATGAAAGGTCCTGTCACAAGGATCAAATATGTTAAGTATGAAAGCCCTAGCCATTACCGTTCAAAATTTATGGTCAAGGTTAAATATTTTTCATAAGAACGGAAATCTCCAAGGTCAAGGTCAAAAGTTCAAAGTTGTTTGTATCAAATGAAAGTTCTTGCTACAAAGAATACATATATGAAATATGAAAGTCCATAATCTACTGTTCAAAGGTTATGGCCAAGGTCATAGTTTTTAAAAAGTAGGTCAAACTCCATTGTCAAGGTCAAAGGGTCAATGTTTTTGACTTGATATCCAATGAAAGGTCCTTTCACAAGGATTACATATCTGAAGTATGAAAGCCCTAGCTCTAACCCTTCAAAAGTTATGATCAAGGTTTGTTTTTAAAAGTAGGTCAAACTCCAAGGTCAAGGTAAAATTTCTTGGTATCCAATGAAAGGTCTTCTCACAAGGATTACACATGTGAAGTATGAAAGCCCTATCCTTTAACGTTTAAAGATTAAAGTCAACGTTAAAGTTTTTTCAAAAGTTCGGAAATCTCCAAGGTCAAGTCAAAAGGTCAAACTTGTTGTTATCCAATGAAGGGCCTTGCCATGAAAAATACATATGTGAAATATGAAAAACCTATTTCTTTACGTTCAAAAGTTATGGCTAAAGTAAAAGTTAAAAATTTTACTGTTATAGTGGGTCAAATGTCAAGGTCAAGGTCACATTTGGTGATAACCAAAGAAAGGTCTTATCACAAGGAATACACATTTGAAATATGAAATCCATAGCTCCTCTTAATCAAAAGTTGTGGGCAAGGTTAAAGTTTTTTTGACGAACGGACAGACGAATGAGATTTAATGTCCCCTCACTTTCACGAAAGCGGGGGACAAAAAAAAAATAACTGGATTCATATACAGTGTATAAAACATTGTGAAACATTAAAATGATTTATAAAACATGCGATAAAATAATCTTTTATGATTTGTGTTTGAGTTGTGTTTTTTAATCCCTGAGCCTTTGTAAAAAAACATTTACAATATAACGATATACATGTACGATAAAAAATCGTATTCTATTTAATTACAAACAAATCAGAAAAGCACTTTTATGAATCTATCATTATCTGATGTACGAGGGTTGATCCAAAAGTAATTGCACAGTGTCCATATCTTTTCTATTTGGCGTCATATTATCAAATATGATGTACCAAAAGATGCACAAAGATAAATGAATTTTTCATTCAATATTGTTAAACTGAATTTATTTTATAGATGTTAAAAACATAGAACATAGGGAGTGTCGCCGCGTCACACCCAAACGTCACAAATTGAAGACTGTACTTTTTTTTAGAATAAAAAGACAAAGACATTAAAAAGCAAAAATTTACATCATATTCTAGACTTCCGTTGAAAATTTCATGACATCATTGCTATTTTTGATAAAAAAGATATCCTTGTTTTACTCCGATGCATTGAAAAAAGGAAATGTCGAAGTGAAAAAAAACCGCCACATGCATTTGAAATGCATTTTTGCTTCGAATTGGAGAAATCGTCGGTAGAGACAGTTAAGTTGATCCACCAGACCAACAGAGGAAAGAATGTAAATAAGATACTTGTTTAGATGGTGTCAGCGATTTTGGGTGGGTGATTGGTCCTTCAATACTCAGCAGGTACAAAAAGGCCGAAGAATGGGAGGATGGACTGAAACGTACAATGGTGTGACGTTGCCAAAAAAGACAGACGGTTAAAACGATATGTGTAATTTTAAGTTGGTCTTCTACTACTGTTCAAATAATTTTGACAGAGGAATTATGAAAAGAATGAGTGTACGATGGGTACCAAGTTTTCTTTAAGAAAGTGAAATTTGAGAACGTGTTCGTGAATCTCGAATATTTTTTTAATGAAACGAAAGGAAGCGTTTAAATGTTTGACACGCGTATCCGTCATGAGACGTTATTTAGGTGAGGCGACGACCATAATCGCACGGTGTATATAATCCGATATTTTGAAAAGTATAAATCATGTTGAATTGAAATTTTCAGGTCTGATTTGAAATAAATGTGAGTAGCTTTCATCATCAATAATATTGTTGTTTTACGTCGACTGGTAGCAGTTTTATCGAAGTTGTGACATTACTTTTGGATCAACCCTCGTATTTATGATATTTGAAGAAGTGAGTCTTGTAATTTTTTAAAAGTTACAATTTTTTGTCTTCTTTATTTTCTTCACAAAGTTTCAGAATAAAGAAGTTTGAGCATTTTGAGAAATTCCAGCGTTTGCGGTCTTAAATCACAATTTTTAGCTATTTCACACAGCTTTGAAATTAAACTGATAAATTCTATAAGTGAAAGGAATTATTTAGGTGCTCTTGTATCAATTTTATATATGCACTACGTTCAGTTAGATATTCATGTATTACTTTTCCTGTCGGAACGACATTAAGACTTAATTACAAATATTTAATGTCCGCCATTTTGAATCGCCTTTTTGTCTCTTTACGTCACTTTGATGTCAACAGCATATTTTTGGATTCAGCATACTCGAAATAAGTAGAACAGATAGAAATCCTTTGCGCTAGAAATTAATTGCAAAAATATATTCCTAAACAGTGTCTTAGATTAATGTATATATATGGATTTGAAATGCTATTTATAACAATTTCACACGTCTATTTCAAATTTGGAAAATGTAATGTGAGATGTTTATACTTGCTAAACTATGACTTATTACTTGTGGTTTCTTCAATGGGTTTTATTATTCATACATGAAAGGATAAGCACTGGTCTTTTGAATATTTGTGAGATTGATTAAAAAAAAACTGTGCATTTTTTTCTTTCAACGTATTTTCCATATATATTAAGAAAGGATGTCAGAAGAGATCATTTATAAAAGTTCGTACCGGGGTGTCTTATCATATTACCGTCTCTTTTTTTCTACGGAAGATTCGTCATTCACGACTGTAGGAATAACATTATCGATAACGTGCAGTTTTACTTAAAGATTTGTTTTTTTTATATGCATGCAGATATCATTGGTCAAATAATCTTCTAAATATAGTATTTGTCAGGGGGCGCAGTTATAAAAGTCGATAGAGTATTGAAATATTTCTTATATGGCAAACACGTTGCGGGTAAACTCTAATTTGAGATCATAATGTACAACTCATGATAGATATGCTGCATTGCTTGGGTTTTGTCTTTCTCTTGTGTAATTGTTTTGCAAGAGCAATAAATGGCGGTAATGAACCAGAGAGAATTGCAGATTCCTGGGCCTGTAAAGAGGAAATGTCTCACATGGCTCCAATTTGTCACTGCGATGTTGACTGTGTTACCTATAGAGACTGTTGTGATAACGTGGCCGACTTTACAGACACAACCCTCAGCTTAAAACCCAAACAGGAATGTCGTCGTTTTGGAAGCAGATCTTTCCCCTCATTCTGGGCCGTCACATCCTGTCCGGGAGAGGGCGCTGTCAAAAAAAGGGGCATATTTCTACCTGTCGTGACTGAGGGCGGAACCGTGTTTGTGGATGACGATATTGCGAAATGTAATAATATTTCGTCTTTCTTGCCCATGGATATCCATGTCATTCTTGATGATCTTTGTGATGTGGATTTGATTATTTCGTCTCTTGAAGCACGATTTATGAATCTCGTCATGTCTATTGGGAAATCAAATTGCAGATTTATATTTTCTCCCCCAAGTGACAGTCGTGCATTCCCAAGACTTTGTTTGGATTTGCGAGAAGAACAGACGATGAAAATTTTTAGTAGTGAATGTTACAACAACCTGAGACCAGAAAAGATATCCTCCGTCCTTTATAGAAACACACGCTGTTTTGAGGACATACACGGTTATCCGATGCCAGAAAATGTTACAGATATAGCAGATATTTATAAGCAACCTTCAGAAATCGGAACATCTCTTCATATAAGATTCATTGACAACTCAAGTAATTTAAACCCAAAACATGTAAGTAAAAAATCGCTTTATATCAGGCAAATAATTAAATCAATTAGATTTTCAACTATGTGATACAATTTTGTTTTCCATTCTATTTTCAGTCAATTTGTCCATACAAATTTAGAAATTTTTGCCATACACGGTTGATAAAAAACTGGAATCAAACTGTAGAAATAGAGGTCGATTCATTTCATCCCATTAGTGACTACCACATAAAGTACAGTACTGTCTACTTTGTCTACAACTTTCTTCAGAATAATGTCAATTTAACGGCAGAAAGGGCCACTGTTGATCTCATTAAATGGAAGAATTCCCAATGTCAGACTCTGGTCATAAGAATATTTTTAAGGAGTACCAGAGACTTGAGCAGAGAGGATTTGAGCAGAGTGATGAATTTTATCAACTTGTTTAAGTTGTCTTCATTCAGTAGCAGTATAAAGACGGTGGCCAATAACTCCTCTAGTAAAATAAGATCCTATATGTGTGCAAACCCCTTGGAAAGGAGGGAAATATTGAAAAGAAAAAGAGTCCATTCATTTTCAATGATGTACGTTTTACGCATAATGGAATACCTCAGTAATTCTATGGATATAGATATTTACTGTCAGAATTTAGTTGTTGAGAGCAAAGAAAGATTGAACAGGAAATTCGTGGACGTCTATTTGATGAAGTGGGAGTGCGTGAATAACCCGACCACCGACACGATTTCATTAGGGGAATACGATCCACAATCCGTGTATATCACGATAACCGTGTTAGCTGTCAGTGGGATAGTCATATTTGTCCTCTATTTCACGTCACTTAAGGACGCCAATGTGCTAGATAGATCGTGATATCTTCACCTTCATGCTAAAAGAAGAACTTATTTAATGTGTAAATTCACGGACAACTAACCTATCCATTAAAACTTCAAATGAGTTGAAACCACAGTCCTTTTTCTCAAAGAAATCATCTTATTTTTTAAGGCCCTTGAAGTTTTGTTTAGATATATAGATATTCACTGAGATCTCTGTTATCATAAATCAACTGGCAGTTCTCTTCTTTGCTTTTGAAGTTTGTTATAATATCCACTGCATACATTGTATCTATACTGTGTAAGTATTCTATAGACTGTTGAAATACAAACTCTGTTGTATTGTGTGGAAAATTAAGATTTATCTCCTTAAGGCAATATGAAATCTAATTTAAAAAATATGTCATTGTTTGAATAGATCTACATTTGTATTGAAAGTCATGAAAAATTGCTATGTACTTTTCATTCGATTTCTTTTGATTTTGAGTTTTATACTTTTTTAAATAAAACTAATTCTTTTTTTATGTGTTTTGAGCTTTCAAACCACTGTAATAAAATACGGAGAATATTCAAGTCTACATATGGAATAGGCTTACGTAAATTTTGCACAGGGTTGTTGGAACGTGCGTTCCTCTTGCATGTAGGAAATACCTTGGATGAATATTTCAAACCAACTTTAAAGTATATGTTACATAAGCACATAAAGAACCCCTGTGTGGAATGTCTGAATGATAAGAGAAGATTAGATTGTTGAAAAATCCCGATTTGTACATCTAATTTATATTTGAATTGGCAAGATTTTGTTTTGTTTATTGAAAAAATACATTTAGCAATTAACTGAATGATAACACGACATGAACTCTTTTAAAAGAAGCAAAGGTCCGGTTGTAATGATTCCCTAACTGTAATACCTTCTCTCTTTCAACATGACATACGAGACATATCTGTTGACCTTTTTGTCATTTAATGCTTTGATATGAAGGTCTGTTTTTTAACATATTCGAAGAAATAGAAAAACATGTTATCTTTTTTATCTTCAAACATGTACCTAAGTGTTTATTTTAATGAAATATTTGAGGAAAAGGTAATTCCTTTTTATTTATCTTATATTTACTTACCGGTTTTTTCCCCACAGGTGAGAGATTTCGTAGGTAATTAAAAGGGACGGGTGTTTATTAAAATAAGCAAAATGCCACATAAGAAATTCTAATAAAAGAAGAAATAAAAATTTTACCATTATGTATATATTTTCAAAAGTAGGTGTGTTATCTCACATCTAAACATTACGTCCGAATCATCCCTCTTCATTTTCTTTAACTAATATGATTTCCATCATTCTTTTCTTCTTATGTTTTAAAATAATTTATAGCTAAGTGTGAGTATTGTATGATTTGATACTTTTACAACATTATGTTAGAAGTGGACATGTATTATGTATGTGTTATATATGTTAAATACTTACCGTTATCTCGGATCTAGATAATGATAACTCAGTCACGACGGCCTTCAGGAATAATCTAACAATGACGACGGCACTCGTGTTTCTTACTTTTCTCTCAATCGTTTGTAAGTACACTGTATTGTTAAACATTAGAGGAAATAATAATTCAAACGTTCCTATAATTTGAATTTTTATACTGCAGAAAGAAAAAAAAAGAACAAAGTTTCATTAGTTCTTTTGTTTAGTGAGTTTAATTTTATTTTCAAAAATTATCAAATTTCTGCTCGACATATACAATGCTAAGCCAAACACCGGTATTTCTTTTAAAAAAGATTTTAAAAATTTAATTATAGTCGAGTTTTTGTACAGGAAGCCGTGCTTTGAGTGTGAATTAATAACTAAATATATTTATATCTATTGTCTGCTATGAGAGGATTATACAGCCTCCTCCCTAGCTTTCATCACCTACAGTAAAATTCAAACTTTGATACCAAAAGGCCTTAATCATTATACACCTTTCACTGCTTAAATCCGAGTATTTTTGAAAGAATATGATACATGGCTTAAAAGATTTAATTATTATAAGGTGTCACTCTATCTCCAAAACATGCAGAATGACGTACATATGATAGGGATTTTCTTTTTATGAATTTCTTTTAAGGACAGAATTGTGATATGAACAAAAACAGGACACTTAGAATGGTATATGATTTAAACCTATTTTGGTTGTAAACACTGCGAAAACAGATACATCAATTAAATAATAATAATAATATTTTTTGTATTTCTCTCTTAAAATTTTACAGATCGTAAAGATTTCAACAGAAAATTTTGAATTTTTTTGTTATTGGAAGATCAGATGTGCTTTGAACATGTTTAATACAATTATCTGTAGTTATCTCTGAATAGATTCATGCCCTTGTCTAAGAATACATATGTTGTTATTCTACGGCGTTATCAATAGAGAGTATATGGTAGATATCATTGTTTGCAATATTCAGATGCTGCTGACCAAGTTAAGAAATGTCATGACGTCAATGAGGTAGCGTGCCAGAAAATGTTTGCCAAACGGAGGGATATGTGTGGCGACCCCTGTGTAGCCAACATCTGCAAGGACACCTGTCGATATTGTCGTGAGTTTTAATAGCATTTATTTTTTTTTCTACACAGAATGAAATTCTATTAAGTATGAATTTTTATTTTCCCATTTTTCAAACGTAAAATATTAAGCATTAATGAGAACTTCCTTTACTTTGCATTTTTTTTTTTACCGGTGGGTAACACATTTATATAACTAAAAAAAAAAATTCGGAGTCATTGTAAAGCTTGATGCATGTACATATGCTTAATTATTATAATGTTTATTTTTATTTTTTTTCATTTACACAACATACAGCATTATATACATATATCAGATTTCAAAAGTACAGATGTGTGTTTTTTTATTTTGAGAGAGAGAGAGAGAGAGGTTCAAGTTAAGAGAACAGCAGATTCCACCTGTTCCACTGGATATCAAACCTTTCCTTTTCACCATTCTTATAAGAAATAAATAATTGTGTTTCATAATGAAATTTCATTTGTGATATTGCATTTTTTGCATTAATAGGTTTCTTTGTGCATCTTGCAGTATAAATATAATATTTAAGCCAGAATAGAATAGCATTTTGAATATCAGTATTTTCATCAATAAAACTTAAAATAAAAGATTCTTAGTAACATTTATCATTAGACCAGTTTTATTTTCAAACATACATGACAAACACACAATTTCTTCTAGAAAAAATGTGTTTTATCGCATTCCCATAGAAGGTGTTTTATTCCTCCTCAGTATGACAAAAAAACTGCATATTTACAGTCATTTTTTTTTTAAATTTTGAATAAAAATGAATTTGTTGCTAAGATTTTTTTTATAATCCTATATTGAAACCATTAGAGTCTACAGTCTTTTGTTACCCTGAAGGGTATTATGCGGATTTTTTTTCCCATTCCCGAGTTCCAACTTCTAAAAGCTAATTCCAAAATGTTTTACCTGCTGCAACAGAAGAGTTTTGATTAAGGATTTCATAATAGCATTTGGATTTTCTACATTTCATTACAGTGTAGATATTTGACATAATTAAGGGATTAGTGGGCTTTTTTTTAAATAGTTTTTTTCTTGACCAGAATTTTTCATCCAATCCCCTATAGCATAAATAATACTACTGAATTCTAAAAACACAATCTTTATGTTTGGATAGGTGTTGCAGAAATGTTCATAAGAAAATAGTGAACCGTCCTCATTAATGATACCTTTAAGTTGTCTAATGTTGCATTAAAACATTTGTATATTATAAAAATGGTTTTCCACCAATATGCAAATGTGGATTATAAAACAATGGTGAGTCACAAGCAAGGTCAAACTTTTTCTCAAGATTTTTAACATTATCCAGGACTTAAATACATCTATCCATAATGTTTATTTTTTTGAAACCAATAAATTGTAAAGTATAAGAAAACAAACACATTTAGTCTTCAATGCCATAAATAAACAACAAAGTACATTTAGTTTTATACATATTATTTTTGTAGAATATGTAGTATATACAAACGTATATCTATTAGACTAAATAATTAGACTTAACGAGCTAGAAATAAAACACTTTAGCTGTTTCAAGCAATTGAACTCAATCTTTATTATAGCGGTTACCTGTTATCATTGCAACGAAGAAGGTACACCGGAAGCTTGTACAAAAGTCCAACAATGTCTAACTACAAACCAGGTATGAATGAAAAAAGAGGCTCAGAAACTTTTTTTCTTGTATTAAGTATTTTTTTAATATTACATTTGATTTCACCAGCTTTGCATAGCAGCTGAGAGGTACACAACAGATTTCCATTCAACTTTCACTTCCGGTTGCGCAGAAAAAGAGGTACGTGTAGTACTTATAACGCTTAACATAAATCGTACGAAACCTTACATGATTTTGTTGTTTTGTCATCTGCTCAATTTAAAATACCATTTACAAATGTGCTTTTTCTTCAGCTCTGTCATAGTCTTTTTGGTTTTGATTCCACCAAACGCGAAGTTGAAGCGACGCTCAATGAAAGATCATATCATTTACATGGCGGATGTTGTGATTCAAATCTTTGTAACATACACGATCCTTCAAATGTGACATCGACCGTGGATCCCTCCAGTCGTCCACCGAAACCAACTGGTAAATCAGACATAAGTTAAATTCTAAAATTTCTTCGTAATAAAGTCTGTAATGTAACTTGTATTTCTGCTTCTTACTTAAAACTAGGCCATCAAAACTACATGGTATAATAATGACGATTTTAAAGATGTACACTGTACATGTACTCTACTAAAACTGATTCTGATGCTACAACAGCTCATATTTTAAAGTGATTTAATTAAAGAAAATTTAAGAGTCAATTCCATTTCAAAGTAATCATAGCGGAGAATGGACACTGTATGGAGTTTGGTTTCCCTGGTGTTCTTAATTTTAGAATACTGGAAGACAAGCGACACGGATATAATGATTATAATAAAGTCTTCACCAAATAAAAAATAAAAAAGTTCCACATCCAAGTGTGGTAAATATTGTTATTATTTGATAGCCAGGGAGACATCAAGACCCTCATCCTGTATGAGTCCCTGAATATTTATGCTCATAAAAATCAAATAATTAGGTACATTTGGATTTTTGTATCGTGTTTGAACTCTTACAGATTATAAAAAGGTTTTTATCATATAAATATTGAACAATTGTTCGATAGAGCTGAAATTAATTTATTACCATGGAAAAACAACTCAATACATCAGTACATGTAAAGTATGAAGAATTATGTGAGAGTTTCGGTTTTAAGATGTTTCAATTGTTGATGTTTAGCTCTTTTTAAGGACTATTATTTGTTGATTTCGTGAATCAACTTTATCCCCGAATACAAATCCCACAAACGATTGCCTAGTCGACCATTACATTAACTGAATATTCTGTATACATGTATAAATGTATAGAAGTTTGTACATAAACCAGCTGTTTTAAAATACACTTTTATTATGTTTATTTTAAGATAACCTTATTCTTGTGTTAACGAGAACCTCCATAAACACGTAGAAGAATTCATGCTACCTTCCTTAGCAGATCTAAACTCCCTTTGATTCACGGCTAGATCATGTTAGTTGTATGTTTAAATTATGAAGGGCTTTATGACAAATGCACTTACATACCCACCTCTTCTCCTGTTCTATAGGCACTAACCCCTTACTTGGCAATACGACACACCAAGAGATAAAGGTCTGTGAAGAGAAGGATCTAGACACGGAGGCCTGTCGTCTGCTGAACGCTACTGATCCCTCCATCTGTCAGAACAACTGTATCGCCACCACGTTATGTCCGTCATTCTGTGGAACTTGTCGTAAGCTCAAATTTAATACAGTAAATCGCAAGATTTTATGAATTCTTTCCAATTTTCATCGGTCAAAGCTTTACGAAATAATGATCTGTGAATACTTTACTTACAGTTCATTGTAGAGATTGTAAATCAGTGCCTGATCCTGCGTCCTGTACGAATACTACATTGTGTAAAAAAGATCAGGTATGAAATATTTCTGATTTTTAGTATCGTATTATCATTTCTACATGATTGTATATCACCACCTGTTTTATAACCGATTACATTTATTTGCGTTATAGAAAGCTTTAACGAAGGAGTTCAAATTTTTCATTTAGAATATCTCGACTTCTAATTTTTTAATTAGGTTTATAACCCAAAAATTAAGTACATTTGAAAAGACGGTAGACTTAAGTTTGAATGTATAGTGTAAAGCAACGGTATAGCAATATCATAGTTCTTTTGTTGCTTTCCACAAATCGCTATTTTTATCCTGATATATTTATAAAGGTTAAAATATGCATGTCTATGTCTATATTTTATGCAAGTGTGTTGATATTTGTATCCTGCTCCTTTCAGCATGGGCTTTTAATAATATCTTACATGTGATGAAGTGTCCTTAATTTTATTAATAAAAATATGAACACCAAAACTTAATATAATTTCAGACTTAGTATAACAAAACAGTATGACTTTTATTCGGGAGGATTTAAACAATTAATGTGTTATTTTTTTGTTTTTAAAACAATAAAAACTCAGACCTTGCTTTGACCGTTTAAAAGTACAGGTTCAAATTTGCCGTCTTTAAGAGGTTGTCCAGCCTGGGGGTTATATGCCCAAATGGCGCTTTAAGTAAACAAGCAACAAAGCCATCAGGCTCTTCTATAGGTCCTGGTCCTTACATCCAGTAGACCGATCCTGTAGTGATTATTCTTACCCGACCATTACAGTAACAATGTTCCAATCATAAGTTAGTAACTATGCTATAATGTGTACAGTGTATGTAAATTTAAAATATCTTTTGATGATCTTTGTACTCCTTGGTACATTTGAACTCCATTTGACATACCTTTGCTTGTTTTCAGCAATGTGTAACAATTGAGCGCCTAGATTCAAACTTACAACTATCTATTGTATTGGGATGTATGGACGCAAAGGTTGGTATTCACTGCTCCCGAATTTAAAAAATATATATATGACATAACATAATTAATCTGCAATTGAGATAAAATAGCTTCTGAATCAGTAATCGTTATAGTTAAATGAATTGCCGTGTCCAGTTTGAATCCTCTTTGGCACACAGTAGTACAGCACAAAAGATAGTTTCTTTGGTTTTCGAAGAAAGTGTAGGCACACTAAAAACCGCGAGAGAAACCATGTACTGTAGATTCCTATTTATACGCGAGGAATTAATTATCGCGTAATTTCGCGAGATGCTTAACTCGCGAAATAAAAGTACTCGGTTTAATTTTTATGGTGCTAAAATCAATGAAAATTCTGTTCATCAACCGTTCATTCGCGAATATTGTTCTCACGATTTGCCGTTAAGGAGCCATTTCGCGATAACAAGTTATCGCACAAAATAAGGATTTACAGTATGACGCGTAAACAATTACTGCTGAAATCTGGCTGTCAATCTTTTTTTAGTATTGCTGCAGAAAACAAATATTTGATATATATTTTTCGATGTTTTTTTTTTAACTCATTAAATGTAGTCAGCCTGATAAGATCAATTTCTTTATATTTTATAATTTAGAATTCAATTCCGCATCATAAAAATGAATTCCCAAAGAATATCGAAAAGTTCTAATGTATTAGAATGAACGAGAATGTTTTATTATAATTACATGTTAGGGGTATGGGATCATCTCTTTCATGAATTTAGATACATGTGTTATGAAGAAGTCTTGTCGTATACGAAGGAACGATCGGGATATTTAGTTAAAATTGCCTTTTTAATTTGTTAATTGATTTTTAAAAATTATTCGTTATTTTATCGCAACTTCGCTACATGTATTTTTTAAATAAGCAATAAATAGCTTTTTGCTTAACAATAATTGAAATGCAGTCATCGTACATGTATATAGTACATGTACAAAGTTTAAATAGAACTAATCCCCTTATATATTATACTTCTTTATTTGTTACAGATTTGTACAGCCTACTTCAGTGGTAGGACAGGTGGTCAGGGAGGGTTTGGTAAGCGACAGTTTGGTCAGACAACACTGAGGGGTAAATGTTGTGATAGCGAGATGTGTAACGAACACGGTATCCAATAAAAAGCCACTGAAGAATAAATGTTTACTTTATCGTATCATAGGGCATTGTTGAGTTATTATTGTTTTTGTGAAAAGAGGAATCATCAATGACTTCTTCCTTGCATATCAAAATTTAAATCCTTTATACATAAAAGTTTTAAAAATCTGTAAAAAAAAAATATGAAATTATGTTATTTTCACTTTAGGAATAGATATCTATTACATACTTAATATTTTACACCACTAAAGATGCATATGGTATATCTGGTGTGGTGTATTTTTACACATTTTTACATATTACACTTTTACAACAACATCAATCAATCAAATATCGATTTTATTAGATTGTATTAATGATTATTAGTTTTATATTTTTTTAATTGCAATTAACTTCATCCTCTCTTTTCCCCTACATATTTTATGAATAATTGTCGCTGCTGAAAAGTAAAGCACATTATGTTTCAATAATTTTTACTGTTGAATACAAAGATGTGTAGGATATAAAATGCATGCTGAAAAGCATACCTTCAAAAATAAACGAAAACTGATCGAAAATAAAAATTGTTAAGTAAATTTACTATTTTCCTTGTTAAGTAATAGAAAACCATGCCACTGAATACAATTAATATAATTATATCATCTGATTTTCCTTGTTGATATCTTCAGCTCAATCAAACCTAATTGTTAGACGTGTCCTGTGATTTTTGTTTTGTAACAGTTGAATAGATGTACGAGTTCTTCCTGGTAAGTTGATCACTCGATAGCTGGGGCAGCTTCTTTATGGAAACATTAGAAGTGTCTTCATAATTGTGCTTAATCATTGACGACAAGTCTACTTTCTCATATCGAAATTTGTCTGAACCAGGCGTGGTTTCACCCTTCTTAACGTCTGATTTCAGATTTATTTTTTGGCTATTTTTTGGAGGGTAAGAGTTGGGTGGTGGTGACTTCAGGCCTCGATTTGGGGTCTTGAATTTTGGAATACAAGTACATTCTGCCTTGTTCTTCTGTCTCTTTGTTCTCAGTATCTAAAGAAACACTAAGTTCACTAGGTGGTTGAATGTTGGGTACAGCATATGTGACTGATATGTCGATATGGTCATTTTTATCACTCAAATCATTTTTTGAACTGCAATCATGAAATCCGTTTCTACGAGATTTGTCCTTTTCAGACTGGAGCTGCTTTGCTTTATTGTGTGTTTTTGCATCAGATTTATCAAGCAGACATCTATAATGAACACATGAGACCTTAGAAAGCTTATTTAAATAAAAAATTGCTTTATTTTATTGATAGTTTGGGAATTAAAGAGGCTGGTGGGTTGTGGCCATTTTTAGACTATATTGATCTCCTTTAGAAGAAGAGCTCCATATGAAGACATAGAAAATAATCAAATTTTAAAACTGAAATTTTTGAAATTTTTCTTTGCCAAATAATAGTTGACAGCTTAATATATCATATGAAAAAATAAGTTAAATCTGGTGGTTAATTTGTCGTTAATTTGTTGACCCACAGCCTCCTTAATATTGCAGCTGTTGCAGAAAAACATAACGCAGATAATTTTTTCTGCAATAGCTTCGATCTTATTACAATACTAACAAATAAAGAAACACGATATGTTTGTATTGTATATCTCAAATAAGTTAAATATAGGAAGGTTCATTATTGTACAACTGAGTAGTATGCCATTGTACATTTCACTGGTGGACTAGCCGAAAGAAATACATACAGGTAGTATACTTAGCAGCATATTTATTGACTACTAAACGACTATGATTTTCTTAAGGAACAAAGAAAAAGAAACAGTTACTTTAAATTTCTAAATGAGTAAAATGAGTGTTTTGGTATTACACAGCAAATAAACTACACTGACCCTCTCTTTCGACACAAGAAAATGGCGACTACAGCAGCAGCGATAATAAGGAACAAAACTGCAACCGGAACAGTGATGTACACAATGGTGTAGTCATCTGAAAGCCAAATTTTCTAAAGTTAAATCGTTGTATGGACGACAAAAGTCTTTGTTAACTATAAGAGTTTATAAATTCAAGGAAAATAAATAAAAGGAATACAAGAATTTTTTTTCTGAACCTCATTAATATATATTTACATGCTATCTATTATATTTTTCTTGTTACAATGCCATTCTCATTATAATGTACAGAGATTGCTTGGTAACAAAACTTTTGTGACATGGCTTTAATTCATTTTATATTAATTAAGCAAGTTAATCAGAGTACTTTTATCTGTCACAAAGCATTATTTAGTAAGGATTTTTTTTCTTAAAATGAACTACATGAATTATCAATAAATATAAAATATATAAATTATATTGATAATATCAATATTACAAATAAGATTTTACTCATAAATGGAAATATACATGATGCAAGACTGTTAATATTTATATATATTTTATATAGGATTGTTGTCTTTAACGTTAACGAAAAGGATCCCTTCCTGCTCAAGGCCCTGAGTGCTGAGTATAGGACAACATTTGTAGCTCTCCACCTGCAAGTGTTGGCGTCTCCATATGAGTGAAAAATACTCGAGAGGGACGTTAAACAACATACAATCAATCAACAAGAAAACATTGATGTAACCATCAATTGTCGCCCGGGAAATATATAAAGTAAACAATGAAAATGAGTCTTGATCATCAAACCGCTTCGATATGTGTGAAAAGGCATGCGTCTACTAGTAATTGATGAAGACGATAGTCGCGAATATTTTGAAAACTTGTAGTCGGATAAAAATCAATCAAAAATGATACCATTTTAAACATGATCAATTCCTCGAGTAAATGTTGGCTGCATGTAATATAAATTGAAGTTAGGCACACGCATCGCCTATATTTAAAAATGTATTAAAGTTCAATTTTAGGCTATAAAACACGAACTGTGCAGAATACGTTTTTATCCGAGAAGTAAAATTCGATGTTCTAAAAAAAGGGACCTGTCGTTTTTTCGATAGTAAATGATAAACAACTTTATTTATTAAATATGAAAAACATATATATTTTTAAAGATTCACTTTTTGGAAGTAAATATATTATGTATCTCGTAATTTATAAACGGAAAGAATATTCTGATTAACAATATTTTCAATGTTTAGAAAACCTTTAATTCTAAATAACTACTCCCACCCCAATTCCCATACACTAACAGTTAAATTTTTATACCTGTCTGCCTCCTTATAATAAAAACACCAGAAACACCCTTTTAAGATTAGAATAGGTCATTTATTACAATATATAATAAATGACAGTAAGAAAACACAATCAAAATTCAAACATAAGTAAGGGTTATATACATATGAAAAATACAAGTAAAGTATGAATAACAAATTGCCAAATCACAAAATTTGCACCTGAGACAATAGGTGTGTCATCCGACATATTATGACTAGTAAAAAATTATGGCATATTTGGCATATAAAATGTAAACAAAAACTTTGTACAACTTGGAAAAAATCTGAAAAGGGGGCGTTAAAAGCCCAACATATAGGAAAGAGTAAATCAAAATAACAATTATATACTGCCATAAGGTACAAAGGAGGTGGGGAGGGTGGTGGTAGACTCAAAGTTGCCTCTGTTTACAAAATATAAATTTAGACAGCGCATGCGCATTTGGTAGTTATGTAAATCGGGTTGCTATTAATATCACCCGGAGTCCCCGCTATGCGCATAATGAAAGTAAACAGAAGGCAACATATATAAATGATTTATTTACATAAATCATTTTTATACCTGTCTGCCTCCTTATAATAAAAACACCAGAAACACCCTTTTAAGATTAGAATAGGTCATTTATTACAATATATAATAAATGACAGTAAGAAAACACAATCAAAATTCAAACATAAGTAAGGGTTATATACATATGAAAAATACAAGTAAAGTATGAATAACAAATTGCCAAATCACAAAATTTGCACCTGAGACAATAGGTGTGTCATCCGACATATTATGACTAGTAAAAAATTATGGCATATTTGGCATATAAAATGTAAACAAAAACTTTGTACAACTTGGAAAAAATCTGAAAAGGGGGCGTTAAAAGCCCATGTTAACAAGCCAGGCAATATTTGTAGAAATGCATACACAGATGTACAGATATTGACTTGCTTGTTAACGCCCCCATCATCACAACCAACAACAAAAGAAACAGTCCATTACAAAATAGTGAAATAGTAATATGTACATTGTTCACTAACAAGATTATGCTTACAAGCACAGCATAAGCTACTAGCCCCTGACTAATAGCAATGTTTTAAACCATGTTTTGCTAGCTATCAGCCCCTGACTGAAGCAAGTGTCTTTGAATTACATTTCAATGGCTATTAGCCCCTGACTAATAGCAAGAGTCCGGAGATGGGGTAAAATTAGTTTGCTGCTATCAGCCCCTGACTGATGGCAAGTTTCCCTAACATATTGGCTGTCAGCCCCTGACTGATAGCCTTCGAAGTCCATGATTGAGTCAGGTAACTAATTCAGAGTTCTAAGGTAGGAATACGGATATACTTTTTAAAAGCGTTTGATTTCCATCTGCCCATATGTTGAATTTGAAGTTCAGAAAAACCTCGAGCAGCTGCAGTGGTAGCGGCTCCAATGCGAAAACTGTGAGTTTGGTAGTGGTGAAGGTTAAGGTTGCAGAATGATAGAGCTGAGCGAAGTTGTTGAGTGAAAAATTGTCTCGATACTGGAGCACCATCCATAAAGGAAAATAGGGGCTGGGATGGTGTGTCATGTTTCCTAATATTGAGATACTGTGTAAGAGATTGGTGTGGGCAAAGGTTAGAATTCGTTTTGTTTGCATGAAGTCGTATTACTGAGGTAGCAGATCTTGAATGTTTGAAGTGGGGAATGCTTATTTCTATGTACTGGCCATGTTGTGTGTCTGATTTTAGTGCCACATTTTGAAATAAAATGTAGTGTTGAGTTGCACCAGAGGTTTTAGTTATTTCCCCTATACGTAAAAATGCACAGAACGCTACCAGGAACATAGCTCTCAACAGTAATTTGATGAAAAATGATGATGTCGTATGTTCCAAAGCCTGGAGAAGAGATTTTAAAATACTAGGTGTTATTGGGAGCCTAGAATCTAATGATGGTTTAATCTTTTGAAAACCTTGTAGCATTTTTTTAACAATAAAATGTTCTGTGATATCTGTAAATTCCCCTAGCTGAAATGTGAAACTTAGCGCAGACACTAAGGTACGTACTGATGAAGCCGCTGATCCCTTTAGGTAACAGTGAGCTACAAAGGCTGTAAGATGTTGTAGGGATGGGGGGAGAGGGTGTTCTGTAGGGAAGGACTGTTCTACAAAGTGTTTATATGACTGAAAAATGGACTTGTAAGCTGAGGTTGTGGATTTGCTGAGTGAACTGCGAAGTAATAGATCACCTGCTTGACTTAAATCCTGATTAAGGAAAGAGGGACTGGTGTCTGTTCTTTGTCCATATGGGGAAACTTGGTTCTGAATTCTGAGACCTGTAACCGAGAAAGCATATCAGCAGCTATATTAGCGACCCCTTGAATGTGTTTAGCAGAGAAATGTATATTATAAGTAAGGGACAGAATCATCAGACGTCGCATTAGCTGCATCAGATTAGGATCTTTTGATGAATTTTTGTTAATGATTTGAACAACTGCTAAATTATCCGAATGGAGGACCACAGTAGAATTTTTTAATGTAAAGCCCCACATTTCCAAAGCAACAACAATGGGTAAAAACTCTCGTACAGAAATGTGATACTGTAACCAATCAGGTGTAAAATTATGAGAGAACCATTTCTTACCAAATGTACCCCCAAAACCTAAATTACTAGCATCTGTGAAAAGGTGTAGGGAAGATGATGAGTGTGTAATGCCAGATGGAAAGAATGCTTTTCCATTAAAATGTTCTAAAAACACAGCCCAAGCTTTTAGATCTGCCCTAGCTTCTAAATTAAGTTTTCGGTGGTGGTAGGGTTGTTTAAGGCCAATAGTGAGATTGATCAGCCTTCTTAAGAATGTGCGCCCAGGGGGTACAACATTGCATGCAAAGTTCAACATTCCAATTAAAGATTGGAGCTCGCGAAGTGTAGCAGACTTTTTGTTTTGAAATTTCTTAATCTCTGATTTAAGTTGATCTAACTTATCCTGCGGTAATCTGACTTGGAAGCACAACGTGTCAAACTCAAGACCCAAAAATGTTAGTGTGGTAGTTGGGTAAACTGTTTTTTCATTTTTAATTGGAAGTCCTATGTCTCTCGCTAAAACATGGAAAGCCAAGAGTGCACTGTAACACTCTGGCGATTGGGGTGGTCCTACAAAGAGGAAATCATCTAATATATGGACACAGTGGGAAACTGAAAACTTGGATTGCAAAATCCATTGAAGTGCTGTGCTAAATTTTTCGAACAAATTACATGCATAGCTAAGCCCAAAGGGTAAAGTCTTATCATAATAATAATAGTTTTCAACCATAAAGCCCAGAAGTTCGAAGTCATCAGGGTGTATAGGAACCTGCTTATATGCATTTTCAATATCAGTCTTAGCTAAAAGAGCACCTTTTCCTATTTGTTTTATGACCTCTATAGCTGTTTGGACTGATTGGTACTGCACAGTACAAAATTCTTGTGGGATATGGTGGTTAATGGACCCTCCCTCTGGAAAAGAAAGGTGATGTATTAATCGGTATTCCCCTGGTGATTTTTTAGGGACTAGGCCCAGTGGTGAGATTTGAATGTTAGGAAAAGGGGGTTCGGTAAATGGGCCTGCTATGCGAAAATTTTGCAGTTCTTGTTGAATTCTTTGTTTGAGGATAGATTCTTTTCCTTTAATAGAAGGCAAATTTGGAGAGAGGCGAAATTGTCTAGGCCCTTGATATGGGATTCTAAACCCGAATTTAAAGCCCTCAATTAAGAAGTTTGCCAAAGTATGATTGTATCCTTCTAAGTAGTCCGCCAGAATAGTGTGATTTATAG